TACATCCAATAATATTTCAAGTATTATATCAGTTTACTGGAGAATCCAAGCTGTGCTTGGTTTGCATTTTTTTTCATATCAGTGCTCTTGTTTCTCTGCAGCTAATCCTTAAGGCTGTGAGTACCTCGCTTGATGATCTTTCACAATAGTTTGTCAACTGTCCATTGCTCCTTAAGGGAGAATGAAACATGTCAAAACCAGCACTTCAAAGATGGAGCGATTCCCTTTGGCATCGGTGCTCTCTGCTTCCGTTCCAAGGTTCACCAGTTACGGAACACCAAATGATCATCTGGTGGTGAGTGGCTTGGCACATCTTATAATGATATATGAAAGTATTATTACCCCTGGAAAAGCGATCCGCCAATCGACAAACAACTAGGTTCCTACTTACTGCTGGGTAAACAAAAAGCATGTGGAGTAAGGAAAATTGCCTACGGTTTAGTCCTGCCTGGGAATCGAACCCAGATCCTCTCGTTTGCAAGGCGAGTGCTCTAACCAATACACTACAGGATTCCACTGTCTCCATGCTCTCCAATTGCATTGTTTGACATTGGTGGGAAACCTCTGACCACTAGACAGTCACCTTCTGTGTCAAGAGGACAATCCTTGGACTTTTAAGGCGGGGAGCTGACCCTGTAACATGGAGTGACTGTGAAGGTGGAGATGTCGTTGTGCCTTGTGTTATGACGGTTGTTCTGAGATCCCCAAGCCTCGGCTCTTGCCAACCTGCGCCTAATGCTCTCTGGAATTAGGTAAGCAAGATACAACCCTCCAGAGAGAGAATGCGTATTCAATTGCAGTAAACATCTCTGAAATTTCCATGTATAGGTGGGATGCATAGGACTCTCAGTTTGGTTTGGATGCTCTTAAGCATGGTGATGGGTTTCCACATGTGTCAGACACCTGGCTGACCAAATAAAAAATTACACCTCCACAAATATGATTATAAGGTGGGATCTCTAGCCTTTTCTCCCTTAACTGAAAACACGTTTATATTCTGCTATTCTAGTTGAAATGGATCACTTTTCTGGTGGCCACGAGAGAGGCAGCACAGAGATGTTAAAGGGGCATTAGCATTACATCTGCCTCTTTGCTTTGACTGGGAGCCGGAAGAACCAGAGGAGCTGTGCTGCTGTGTTTTTTCAATGACATCACACAAAAACAGATGTGATAATGTGTTTTGCTGAAATTTTCATTATTGGTCAAGCCTTTGTGTAATTTAAAACATGTTGATGAAAATGTGTGCTTTTAAAGAAGAAAACTCCGACAACTCAGAGAGGAGCTCATAGAGGTGTACAATATCTTAAATGGGATTGAAAAAGTAAACCCAGATCAATACTTTAGGATGCATCAAGATAGTAGAACAAGAGGACATAGGTTTAGAGTTGTAAGGGACTTCAGAACAGATACCAGACAGTTTTCCTTTACACTGAAGGTAATCAACTGTTGCCAATTTGCCAGGAAAGATAGAGGACACATGATGCCGGGCACATGATCTATGTCACGCCGACTTGCATGAACTCTGCTCCAAGGTGCTCACACAAACGTAAGAGATCACTAAGACGGATTGACTGTCAGGTTGGAGCTGTCAGTTTGCCTTGTGCTATGAGTGCTGTGCTTGGGTTCCCAAGTCTTGACTCTTGCCAACCTGTACCCAATGCTCTCCGGAATTAGGTAAGCAGGATGCCTTCCTCCAGGGAGAAAGTGTCCATTCCATTCCAATTAAACATGTAATTGTGTGCACAATTTTAGAAGCTTTTAGGCTATGGGATTTCTATTCAAGCACTTTTCTAATCTCACTGATGTGTGCATTGCGTGCATTTGAGTGTATATTTTAACTGAATTTATTTGGAGAACTATATATCCAATAGCCTGGTTTAGTGCATAAACAGTACGCCGAGGCAGATCTGCAAATGTTTACTGTGTTAGAACCTGGATGATGAACAGCAGCACTTCAAACTGCATCCTTTGTGGAATTTACTCTGGACAATGGGTTTGGTTCCCACAAGCGAGTTCACTGCAGTGCCTTAAGTCTCTATTAAGTAACGTTGAGACTGGTTTGCATCTTAAAAGAAAAACACTGTTTTGGCATAAAATGTATAATATTTTGCCTAAAATCGCAATTTCTGATTGTATGTCCCTATGTTTTTATACACTTCAATTTGTTTTTTAATTTTCAGACTCTCCTTCCAGCGTTTGTTACTCTGCCACCTCTTGATTGGTGAATCCATGTGAAATTGTCAAAGAAAATGCAATGAGGTTGAGAAATAAATAAACAAACAAGTGCATATTACAAGAAACATAATGCACTGTGCGTGGTGGCCATGACATTACATACTCAGATCTTATAAACAGGCGCCTGATGTGCATTTATATAGACAACTATGACTCGCTCTATACAATGCCTGCCAGTAAACACAACAGACAGATGAAAGAGTGTTATCATCTGCTGTAAGGCAGCCAGCTGTTAACTCCACTTTCAGCTCCTTTTTCATTTCACCAGGTTATGGATTTGACAATATTTGCAGCAGTTTCAGCAGCCCCCTTCTCAAGGAGACTGGGTGGTCGTGGAACAGAACAGCAAAAAACTCTTTCCCCTCTCCTCATTTTATGGTGCCAACTCTTCACTGCGGTACAGGTGTCCCCCAGGAGCTCACTCAAGTGGACAATACTTGGTTCACAGGTCAAGAGACTGAGTGTTGACCAGTTATTCACTGTGGAGAATCATAACCGAGCCCAACTGAGTCCTCACCCAACGTCTACGCTGAACCAAGCTAGCACCTCCTCAAGTCAGGCGCCAGTTATCAAATTCCCCGTCTGCTCACTCCAGATCACAATCCAGAGCAAAATAGACTCTTTATTTGATCCTCATCTCTCCTTTAAACCTTTTGAACAAAATCTGCTTTCCTCCAATGCCCGCCTCCACCACTACCACAGGAAGGATTTGGGGGACATCTATAACTCTTACTCTGATTGTGTAAAGTATTTTGAGATGTTCTCCTATGTGAAAGGTGCTAAATTCTCCTATAGATGCTCTTGAAGCTCACAATAACAAGATAAATTGTTGTTGTGACTTCAGGTACTTGTGGCTTAGTGCTGCACAATGCACTGCCCTTACTTATTCGGGCACAATGCACTAAACCCTTACTTTAGTTATAGGCATCTATAACTAAAAGCCCAGTTTTGCTAAATTCAAAATCCGTTAGTTAGTGGGGCTCAGGGACAATAAATGATAGAGTCTGACATGCTCCAGCTGGCCTTCTACCAATATCTGAGTGTGCTCAGATTCCAGGCCAGCAGAAACCACCTTTTACCTGCACCAGTAAGTAGGACAAATTTGCCTGTGTTCTTTGCCGGGAGCATTGAAAACAGTCCTGCTTAGCATTACAAAGAGCCTGAGGCATTAAAAAAATCACATTGCTCGCCGCAGACACTACAAAAGCATCAGAACCTACCTGACCCTGCTGAAACCTTGGTGCTATTTAAAAGGTAAAATTAATATTTTATGCATTTCCAGACATACTTTCTCTCCCGGGCAGACTCCTTAGTCAAATGACATCAGTGACCTCTGCCAACCAAGCTTGTCAATCAGAAATGCAGTCATTTTTGCCTAAATCTCCCCTGATTGATGACCACTCATTCACCAACGTTGTAAATCTTATTATCATGGTCTTAAATCAAAAATAAAAATAATAAACTCTGTGAGGCAACGCTTAAAACATTTCCCAGCATGTTGAGCCGGCAGGTTAATGACATGAAGGAGATGGTCTGCTATTTCATAGTGTTTTTCTAGGAGGGGGTTGAGGAGGTGGAATGGGAGACCGCCAAAACAATAATTTTAGAAAACATATTGTCTGCATACATGAATGTTATCTGTGTGTATATGTACTGGTTGTGTATTGTGTGTGTGTGTGTGTGTGCAGGTGGATTGTGTGTGTACATGCATTGTGTGTGTGTACATGCAATGTATGTGTGTGTGTATAGATGCATTGTGTGTGTGCGTACATGCATTTTGTGTGCATGCGTAGATGCATTGTGCGTATGCGTACATGCGTTGTATGTGTGTGTACATGCACTGCCAGAAGCTGTGGTTGAAACAAGAAAGCATCAGCTTATTTAAGAGGACACATGATGTATACATGAAGTAGAAGGCAATGTAGGAATATGGGAAAGTGGATTAGAAGAGGTGAAGACTCATGTGGAGTACTAACACCATCACAGACTAGTTGGGCCGAATGACCCGTTTCTGCGCTGTAACGTCCTGTAATTCTATGTAATTCAAGATTGGCTAGCAACTCATCTTGGTGAAAAAGTGAGTCACTTGTCTCTCCCAGTTTCTCCCCTATCTCTTAAGATTTTGTTATAAAATTTCTGGTTGAAACCTTCTGATCTAACATCCTTGATTCAAGTCACTGACCTTACATTTAGAATGTGTTTTGCTCAAAGAGTTAGTGATCACAAACTCATCTTGCTTAACTGAGCTAATGCAGGAAGCTGTACAGCAACTGAATCAACATCAGTAGTGGCACAGATACAAAACTAGAGATAATTCAACACCAACTACGTCTGTTAATTCAGCTCCTAATGTGGAGGGACACAAAAACCTTTCTAAGTCACTGTCCCCTGACAATGTCATTCCCAACTGCTGTTTGAACAAAAATACTTTAATAATTGACTGAAATGAAGAGAACAGAACCAAAGCAAGTCAATATGAATCGCTGCTCATTGTTAGTCAATGAAGCCCTGCCCCAAATATACCTCTTTGACCTAGTTTTCGCTCATCGTATACTCCCACCCTCTCAGCTTGAACAGCCAGCTGTGTAAAAAGCTTTGACTCATGCTCCTGATATGAAAGATGCTATAAAGGCGTAAATTGTACTGTATTTTGTTTAATATGGAATCCTGATAGTAAGACTCCCTCTTTCCATGTGTTTTATTTCTGGATTATAATTTATGTACAGACACCCTCGATTACTTTAATCCAAACATTTGGAACTCACCTGCCCGAGCATATCTGGTGCGATAGGAAACGTGGGCCAGAAGACAGAGTAGACTCCAAAGAATACCAGCCACAGTGCTATGCTGCCCCATACAGCCAAGTGACTGAACTAGGAAAAAAGAGAAATGTTTTAAGCAAATGGAAAGACAAAGTAAAAATGTAACATGACAAATGAGGCCTCCTATATAACAATAATCCTCACTTTTAGTTTAGTGTCTGGTGTTGAGAACGTCTAAAAATGATTCACAAAATTTCTTTAAGGTGTAGTGACTATGTCTTGAGGCAAAATGATGCTTGGTTTGGGGGTTTGGCATGCTGGGGGCACCATTTGAGAGAACTTAAATATTAGACCTTCCTGGTTTGATGCTTAAAACCATACTCAGAATCAAAGAAATTTACAACACAGAACGAGGCTGTTTGGCTGATCTCGGAGCAAAGTGTTCTTTCAATTCCACAGCCCTGGCCTATCCCCATAGCCCATCAAGCCTTTATCTTCCTGTCTATTTCCTTAAATGTGTTACAGATTCAGCCATGTCAATCCTTATATTTCTATTAACATAATGAAGAGCTCTTCTAGAGAGCCTAGAACAGACACAATGGGCCAAATGACCTCTTTCCGTTCGGTAATACTTGACGATTTAAGACACTAATTAATCAGAGACATGTGGGGACCACTTCAGAAGTGGCCAGTCGATCCATGAACGAAAAATAACAAGCATTTACAATAAAGTTACAGGACAGGTTATATGAAACAGAAATAAAGTAAAATTAAAATAGAAGGAGATGACTCAACCCCTCTCATCTCTCTGCAGGTCAGACAGCATCTATGGAGAGAGGAATGGAGAGAACTCAGTTCTGATGAAAGGTCATCAATCTGAAACATTAACTCACTTTCCACTCTCCATAAATGCTGCTGAGTCTTTCCAGCAACTTCAGTTTTTATTTCAGATTTGCAGTATTTTGCCTTTGGTTCTCTCATCTCTCCACGTAGCTGTGAGCTAATCTAAGTCAGTGCAACAGTGATGGAGTTACAATTAGGCTCAATGCTGGGGCCGATGGGATAGGGAAAGGAAAAAGTCAGCCAACATTCCCTGCTCCCCAGCTGCTGAGCATTTTCCAGCAAACACTGTTTCCATTTGAATGGATTTTGGGTGAGAACAGGATTAGGTTCAGCTATAATGCCATATGGTTGAATCGTCTGCTAACAATCACTGTCCAAGCTCGTAGTGAAGAAAGCTCAGTTGGGTGAGGGACTGGAAGACCAGATGCCAGCAAAGAGTTAATATTTGGTCATTCACTTCAGAGCTCTTTGAGGGACATTGCTGTGAGAAAATTGGCTGCCACGTTTGTCCACAAAACACACAGTCACTCCACTTTACAGAAATTCTGTGAAGCACTTTGCGACGTACTCTCAATGTGAAAGCACCATACCAAATGTAAGCATAATTATTATTTTTATTATTTCAGAAGAAGAATGTAGAAGGGAATTGAATGAGCAGTAAGAGAGAGAGAACTGGGGAAGGGAAATGTAAATGTTCCATTTTTGGTTGAAATGTTATTAAAAGGTTAAGTTAACATTTCAGTGATAAAGCAACTGTTAACATTGAAATATCTTCATTATGGTTTGTTTGAGCGCTGTTGTGTGTTTGCTTTGGTGTCTGCCTGGTTCAGTTATTAGTACGCTCGTCTCCAAGTCAAAAGGTTATAGGTTCAAACTCCATAGCTCATGGTTGACATTGACACTCCAGTGCAGTGCTGTAGGAATGCTGCATTATCAAATATGTCATCCTTCAAATGAGATGTTAAACCAAGGTCCCAAAGCACAGTTCAAAAAGAGTTTCTCCCAGTGTCCTGGCAAACAATCCCCAGATAAAACTGCTCATTCATTTCAGGGCTGTTTGTGGAACATTGCTGTACACAAATTGGGTTACCATACTTGCCCACAAAATAGTCACAAAACTTTGCAGTAAATTCTTGTGAAGCACTTTGAGACATTGAAGATGTGAAAAGATATTATATCAATTGCAAGGATTTTTAAAATTTATTACTTATTCCTGAAAAAAAAGGCTGGCTCAGCGAGCCAGGAATTCCCTGGTCCTGTCAAGGCTCTGAAGGTTAAGTTAAAACTAGATACACTTGCATTGGATCTGTGAAAAATGATATTGAAGTCATGTTTACACGACCGTGAAGCTGGTGCTTACCTTTGTCCAAGCTGTCGTTTCTAAGCCAGCTTTCAAACACACGGTTATAACAACATACTATAAAAGAAGGAAGAAATGTATTAGTACGAAAGTAGATGATGGTGATGGCAACATTTTCACAAAATTATCAATGAAAGTGTTGAGTAATAAGAAAATAATTGAACAAGCCACAATTAAGTCAATTTTGATATTTATCACCTCAATTATACCCCTTGAACAGGGGCAGACTGGGTATACGGGAAATTGGAAAATCAGACCAAAACCGGTGTAGCATTTACGTAAATTTAAGTCCATTTATTATCAGCATAACCTCCAATATATTTTCCAAACAGATACTTGACTGATAACAGCAGACGCAAAATAAAAACACATCCAACAATGGTGAACGGTAACATTGCAATTGTCAATGCTCAGTTTCCTGGGAGCATCGGTTTACTTACTGTATAAACAATATTCCCAATAAATAAATAATCTGGAACCTGCCCATTCACAAAAGCTGCATCTGAAAGGAAAAAAAGAGAACCATCATTAAAAATATGATTCAAATCCTCTGTGTCAAAGTCACTAGTTCTTCAGGAAGAGCTGTCAATCTTCACCATCTTCTTCAAAATACTAGAGAACGTGTCGAGATTTCTGGTTCAGTTTGAAAGAATAGGGAAATAAGCAACCACAGTTTTCACTGATAAGCACAAGCTAATTTGGTCATTCAATCCACGACTGTTTGTGGGACACTGTTGTGCGCAATTGGCTGCTGTGTTTCGCTCACAAAATATGCAGTCAATTCACTTTACAGTATATTCTGTGAAGCACTTTGAGACATCTCAAAGTGATAAGGTGCTATATCAAATATAAGAATTATTATTTATTACTATAATGACCATTGTGAAGCCTCCATTCATCCAATACTCTGCAGACAATCACAGGCTTTGATAAAGCCTGATTTAGGAAAGTGTTAGCTTTGCTGTCACTTCACCGCCAGGACCGAAATAGCTTGCAACATAAGTTGCATCCATCTTTTGCAGAGAAACCTATTGCCTATCACTATCACAACTTGCAAAACTTCAACTCTGATATGAGATCACCTCACGCCAAAGTCCTGCACGATAACATGACTTACATGGGTTTTCTTGCATAAAACTTGGGTTTAGGTAGCAATGTGAGGTTCAAGTAACGCTATTGGGGTGCCTTGGCAACCTAGGCTCATACATGAAAAATATTGACTTGGGTGAGACATGGGCTCCGAGAACTGGTGGAAACGTACCGCAACATGGGTCACAGAGGGAAGATGAGAGAAGAACGTACACTTGGTGATGTTAAAAAACAGTGCTTCCAAATTGCTGTGTATTGCAAAGTTAAGCTCACATCTTGAGTTTCATATCACGGCTGCATCCATTCCCTCTGATACTGACCCCTCTTCTTGTTAATTGCTTTGCTCAAATCAGTCTGAATACATATTAAGAGGGCTAAAGACAGACACATGTGCCATATGAGCACTGAATATTTAATGTGAGGTGTTCTCCAGATGTGACTGCAGATGCTCCACAACTGCAGAACAGGTCACAGGTCAAACCTTCACACTGTGGGGAAATGCTATCTTGTCATTGGCACAGAAATAAGTTTGTGGAAACATTGTGCTGTATTTACGCCAACACGTCAAAAAATGCTTCAGTGAACAAATCTTCTAGGCAATAAGAATGATAGCTGGAATTAGCTTGAGTTACGAGGCAAGGCTTTGGAAGTTCACATTGCAGAAGAGAAGGGTCAAGGGAGATTTTGCTGAATTATTCAAGGTACTAAGGGATATAGAGAAACTGAACCCTAGGAACTCGAGCCTGAAGAGAAGGTGAGCAGAGAACACAGATTTAATTATATATAGAATGGTTCATATGTGGAATGCGTTACCCAAAGAGGAGGTGGAGACAGATTGTGTCAACAAATTCAAGAGGGAATTGGACAGCTAATTCGTGAAAAAACAAATTGAGGGCCTACAAATCCCCCAAATAAAATCGGTCACTCACTCCATGCCTGTCTGTCTGTGGGACATTGCTGTGCGCAAACTGGCTACCACTTTTCACCCACAAAATACACAGGGCTACTTTACAGTATATTGTGTGAAACCCTTTGAGATATCTTAATGACGTGATAAGGCACTATATCAAACGCAAGGATAATTATTATGGCTCCTGAATACTAACCCCAGCACGATTCACCTAGGGAAGAAAACAGAATGTTGGGAAGGAAGCTACTTAAGCTCCAATGTACAGGCTTCACTGACTTCACTGTTGACAATGTCTTGGGGAGAGGTGGGATGCCTCCAGCCCATTTGTGATAACCTCTCACTGCACTCTACATGGTCTGCAGTTTCAGTTACTGATTTGCCTTTCTTCTGACGATAGGGTCACTGAAACTCTGTGCAACTGATGTAAAATTTGCAGTGAAGCCTTGAAGAGAGTCCAGGAAGAACAACAACAATTTACACTTCACAAGCTCAATTCAGAAGATGTAGCCCCTTCAATCCATCTGATCCCAACCTTCCAGAATACCCACCTCACATCAGTGCATCAACCATCATTGAACTGAATCCAATGTCTTGGCCTCACCCAACCTTCCTGGCAACCTGTTGCAGTCTGTAATTACTCTCTGGGTAAAGAAAAACTTTGTGGTATCAGAAATTTGTTCTGAAATTGCCCTTCGCTTTGGGACATCCTCCTGACGTGAAAGGCGCTGTTTGTAATTTGTTGTTGTTGTTGTTTTCAACTCTAAACCTAGGAACTCTTGTTCTGCTGTCTTTGTACATCCAAAAGTATTCTGGGTTTACTTTTTACTGTATCATTCCCACTTATAATGTTAGACACATCTATAACTTTCCCTCGGATGTATTCTCTCAAGACTGAAGAGCCCTAGCTTGTCTAATGTTGATAATAATAATCTTTTATTATTATTTGATGTAGAGTCTTATCACATCGTCAGGATGTCTCAAAGCGCTTCACAGGATATACAGTAAAATGAATTAACTGTGTATTTTGTGGGCGAAAAGCATCAGCCAGTTTGCACACAGCAATGTCTCACAAACAGCCATGGAAAAGGAAATGTGAATGACCAATTTTATTTGGAGCACTTGATGGTCAGGACACCAGGAGAAACTTCCTTCTCTTTTCGATTAGTACCATGGGATCTTGAGATCCACCTGAACACGCAGATGGGGCCTTGTTTTTTAACGTCTCATCGAAGTTCAGCACCGCCGACAATACAACACCCCCGCAGCAATGCACTGGAGAGTCAGTTTAGACTATGTGATTCCAAGTCCCGATATGTATTGCCTCTCACATTGGCAAACGTCTCAATGTGGTTTCCAAAGACCATAAGTAGAGATAAAGAATAGGTCTTTGGAGAGAATTTGCGAGCAGAAGGAAGGAGCGATCAAAGGGATTTTTGGAGAGCATTCTAGAGGGAAGACTCGCCCACTGGTGGTGCAACAGTGTGGAAGGAGTGGCTGGAGGCAAAGGATTTCAAGAGATTGGAGAGATAGGATGCTACAAGGCCGTGGAGGTATTTTAAAGGCGATGATGAAGATCTTGAGGGACAACAGTGATTTAAGGACTATGAATCCTAGCTGATGAGAAGAGGCTCAGGGAACTGAACTTATTCACCGGAGCGAAAGATTGAGGAGAGAGAGCGAGAGAGCGGAAATGATCCAGGCTTTTCCTAATGACAAATACAGACGGCACTGAGCTATTTAACTAAGATTTTGAGAGCAGAATAGAAGGTATTGGATTAAAAAAAAATTTTTTGACCAAAAGTACTCCGGAATAAAGTTGGCCATTCACTTTATGGCACTTTGTGGGATATTGCTGTGCACGAATTGGCTGCCACATTCACCTACAAGATACAGTCACTGCACTATACAGAAAATCCTGTGAAGCGCTTTGAAACATCCTCCTGACATGAAAGGCACCATATCAAAAAAAAGTTATGATTTTATTATTTTTGATTAAAACAACAACAAGAAAATTACATTTATAGAGCGCCTTTCACGTCGGGAGGACGTCCCAAGCGCTGAACAGTCAGGTGTCGGGGCCCGAGCATGGGGGAGGGGTGGGGTAGGGGTGAGGGAAGGCAGAGAGGTGGGAGGGAGATCAAAGGCACGGTCAAAGAGAAGGCTCTTGAGACCGGCCTTGAAGGAGGCAAGGGAGGAAGCGAGGTGAAGGGACTGTAGGATGGAGTTCCAGAGTGTGGGGGCAGAGAGGCTGAAAGCCCGACCACCGATGGTAGGGTCAGGCGGGAGACATGGAGCAGGCCGGAGCCCGCTGAACAGAGGGAGCGGGCAGGTTGGTAGGGAGTCAGCAGGTCAGAGGTAGGAGGGGGCAAGGCCATGGATGGCCTTAAAGGTGAAGACAAGGATCTTGAACTCGATCCTCTGGGGGATGGGGAGCCAGTGGACTCGGGCGAGGGTGGGAGTGATAGGGTCATGGAGCCTGGCACGCGAGAGTAGACGAGTTTTGGATGATCCGCAGCTTGTGAAGGGAAGAGTTGGGAAGGCCTATGTGGAGGGAGTTTCCGTAATCAGCCTTGAGGTGATGAATACATGGGTGAGGGTTTTGGCAGCCTGAGGGGTGAGGCAGTGGCAGAGTCTGGCAATATTGCGGAGGTGGTGATAGGCAGTGTTGGTCATGGTGCAGATGTGGGGGAGAATTATTTATGCAACAACCATTTACCCGGCAGAAACCCTGGGAGGAGCATTGAAAGAACTAGTGCTTAGCATTGAGTTTTCTTTGGACAGTGGAGAGTGGGCTGTGTGTGTAATGGGTATTACTCCCTCCATTTAGAAGGATGTTTGTCTAATTATCAGTGTGGGAGAACAGCTGGAATGGACATATGTAACTTGCATCACAAGAATGCCATGTGCAAGCAATAAGATATTTTTACAATGCATTGACTCACTTCAACGGAAATTGCCATTGTAACATTTGAAAAGGGTAAAACAAAATGCTAAACTCACTTCAACCAAGGTAGTGCAGCTTTAAATTTGCTGTGGACAACATTGGGCCAGTTTGATTTATTCATTTCGAAGGTTATTATTTTGCAGGAGACTTTCTGCACCCCGAGGGCTGGTTTTCAGTGCAAACAGGAAGAAAAATGCTTGGGGGAGAAAGGGTTACTAGGGTGGCAGGGTACGAGATGAAATACTTCAATGATGTATTTCTGGCTCGGACACTTCAGAATTAGTCCCCCTGCCCCTCCCCCCTACACACACACACACACACACACCTTCAGTGAATACGGGTTCACCAATAAAAAATGCCTACTCTACTCCATTTAAAAAAACAGGTCATGTAACACAGAGGGGAGGCATGCGCTGGCTGTTACTGAGGTCGGCAGATTTCTGGAGGAGGCTGTCACTCTACTTACTAACTGGAAGCATAATGAGCTGAGAGATGTCAAGTTTCAGGGTTGGCTCCAGCTAAGATATGCACACACTGAGTAAGGTAGATGGAGGTGTTTTGCTCTCGTGGTTTACAGCAGGCTAATGAATGAAAGAACGTAGGTAAATGCAACTTTTTCCAAACAAAAAAGCAGTTGTTTTTTTTCGTTGTTACGAATGACTTTGTTTGTTTTCGTGGGTGAATTTGTGCGCATTAAAAAGAGGCGAGGGACGTCCGTGCTGGGAAATGGAATGCTCTCTCCCTGTTTACACTCGATAGCAGCATCAAGGACTCCAGGCCTGATGTTGCATTAGGTAAAATGATAATTCTTGCATTTGATATAGTGTCTGTCATGTTGGGAGGACGCCTCAAAGCGCTTTGCAGCATTTAATAACGTAGTCACTGTGAATTTGTAGATAAATGTTGGTGTAGGTGAATTTTAGGTGTATTTGATGCAAAGTATCAAATTTCTTCTGCTCTGCCCCAAGCAAAACACCTTAACCTCAGTCTCAGAAGGGCATCACTTACTGAACCTGAGTGACATTTCCATTTCCCATACCAGTTCTCAATGTGGCTTCTCGGAGCAAGCCTGCCAATTTAGTGCCAATTAGTGCTGAATTATTGGCAGTTTTGCACCGTGGATTCATGTCCACTGGGAACTGGGTCGAGGCCGTCCAAACTCGTTTCACTTACAGCCATCAGAGAGAAGAGATTCTTATCCCATCAGTCTGGCATGCAATGAAATCAGGCCCCAAAGGAGCAAGAACAGTGTTCGAACCTTCTGCACCACCCAGTCCTCTCTGGGTCTGCTTTTCAATTATATGTGTTGACTGCCAGACATGCATCTGAAAATAGGGACTGGAAGGAGCTCCTGTCTGTTAGCGCACACATCTACCAACCTGCACAGTTTAATAAATCCTGATTTTTAGGCAAAGGAGACAGGGCAACACAAGTCTAAAACTTCAGTCGCTGACTATGTGAGTGGGAGACGGGCCCACAGTGCTTATCTCATCTTCTATATGTGACTCTTGAGGTTTTGGGTGAGCTTTGACACTTCACAATAATAATATAATAATAATAATAATCCTTGCATTTTGATATAGCGCTTTTCACATCGGGAGGACCTCCCAAAGCGCTTCACAGAACACACTGTAAAGTGAATTGACTGTATATTTGTGGGCGAACGCGGCAGCCAATTGCGCACAGCAATGTCCCACAGTCGTAGATTGAAAATGACCAATTTATTATTGTTTTGTTTTTTGGAGGGATTATTATTAGGCTCTGTGTGGAGTAAGGAAACTTGCCCAAGGTTTCGCCCTCTGCCTGGAATTGAACTCAGGTCTCTCGCTTGCAAAGCGAGTGCTCTAACCACTGAGCTACAGAACTCCATGACCTGGAAGCTGCTGAAAAGATCCTAATCGGACAGAGAACTGGGTGAGAAATCTGGCTGTCCTTCATCCTCAGGAGTCTGAGAGGAATTTTCCAGCAAAATCTTTTTTTCATCTGAATTAACTTGAGCTGAAAAAAAAGTTTTCACTTTTCCTGTTTCTCACATTCCCTAGAAGGGATCCAAGTGACCAGAACCAGGAGGGATGTATAGGTGTATATCAATAATGATCATTCTTACATCTTTGTATCGAGCCTTTCACATCAGAAGGATGTCCCAAAGCGCTTCACAGGGTATACTGTAAAGTGTAGTGACTATGTGATTTTTGGGTGAACCTATATTTTGCTGGAGATAGAATGGGGAGAAAACTCCCAGGAGCCAACTGTTTCTTGTCTATGTATCTGCTCTCGTTAGATATTCTTTCACATATCCTTTTCTGACCTAACACCAAGCACTAGAATCCAGAGTTCTACAGTCACAGTTTCAGGCAGGAGTAGAGCATTGGTCTATCACGCTATCCACCCACTTCCCAAAGATTCCTTTGACACATCTGGCTCATCACTCAGTAACCCCAAGTTCTTTTAATCTCCAGTAAACTGTCTCGTTCCTTTTAAAACCCTTTAGTAAGAAGAGTTCCACTTGCCTGCCATTCTTTTACTAAAAACAAATTCTCCTGTACTTCCTATTTCCTTTTTTTAAGTAAATCTATTAGGAAGATATTTTTTATTCAGAGGGTGGTGAGATTGTAGAACTCACTGCCAGAGGCTGTGATTGAAGTAAAAGGCATCAATGTGTTTAAGAGAAAACTACATACATGAGGGAGAAGGGAACAGAGGGATACAGGGGAGCGGAATTGGAGGGGTGGGAGCTTGTGTATATTAAAAACACTAGTTGGGCCGAAAGGTCTGTTTCTGTGTGGTACTACTCTATGAAACTTTATGTCCTTATTTTAAACCGGCGAGACTTCTTTGTTTCTTCAATTTGCTACACAGCAAAAAAAAATCTTTCCATATTAAAATCTACCAAAGCGCTTCATAATTCTAACCACGTTTCACGTCCCCCTCAGCCTTCTTGTCTCAAGAGAGGAAAGAAAGAGTATTCAATCATTCCTCATAGCCCTTTCCCCTAAATTCTGGTATTAATCTAAAAGCCCTGTCCTGAACTCTGTCCAACAACTGAATATGTTGGTTGAAACAATCACCAAAACCACATGCATAACTCAAGATGTGGTCTCACTGAGGTTAAATACAATTGTGATTTTTTTGATTGGATGGGTCTCTAATATATGCAGAAACCCATCACCATGCCTGAAAGTTCCAAGAATCCCACCTACACATGGATTTTCCAGAGATATTTGTTGGAACGAAATTAGCACTGTTTTCCTGGAGGGACATATCCTGCTTTCCTAATTCCAGAAAGTATTAGCATAGGTTAGCAAGAGTGTTTGGTGGGATGCTGCTGTAGTCTAACCAGCTAAAACCGCATAGCTTGCTATTGCACTGTTTGGCAAGCTTTCCAGCTGCTTATACAGCTAGGACCAGCCTCCCTGTTTGGGCTGTGGCTTGCAGGGTTAATGGGAGACTGAGTGGGAAGACTCTCTGGCCCCAGTGACTGGTTCTGTCCTTCCAGGTGACAATCAACAATAACAACAACAAGATTACATTTGCATAGCACCTTTCACGTCGGGAGGACGTCCCATCAGCAGTGCCCTGGAATACTGTAGACCTGCCTGGCTCAGGAACCGGATTACCGAGACCGCCAGAGAGAGTGTGGACTCATTCCATTCCCAAACGTCACATTGGAGCCAATTCAGCTCCAAGGAGACTCCGCTTAGCCCCGTTCCCGCCCCCATCGATAAATCAAATTTTAAAAATTATCGCACTCTCAATTTATATCTTAACCCCTTTAGCTATATGCACCCATCCTCACCCCCACCAGGCTCCCCGACCCCGTCACCCCATCCTCACACCCACCAGGCGTGGAGTGGAGTCCTGTAGCTCTGGTTAGAGCACTCGCTTTGCAAGCAAGAGACCTGAGTTCAATTCCAGGCACAGGGCGAAACCTTGGGCAAGTTTCCTTACTCCACACAGAGCCTAATAATAATCCCTCCAAAACAAAAAACAATAATAAATTGGTCATTTTCAATCTACGACTGTTTGTGGGACATTGCTGTGCGCAATTGGCTGCCACGTTCGCCCACAAATATAGTCAATTCACTTTACAGTGTGTTCTGTGAAGCGCTTTGGGACGTCCTCCCGACGTGAAAAGCGCTATATCAAATGCAAGGATTATTATTATTTATTATTATGGTTGGCTTTCTTACCTACTTGGAACACTACTGATAGTTTTTTGTGACTTATCTATCAGAACGCCCAGGGTTCTCTTCCTGGTCTAAATGTTCTACAAGCTAAACATTAGTGGTGAAGTGATGGAAGGTGAGGGGCTAAAGTAGGGGATTAATAAAGATTAAAAACTGGATTTACTATCTGCAGGAAAAATTACCACGTCATAAGCAGAGGCACATTTTAGGCCATCACATTCAGGAAATGAGAGACACAACTCCACCGTGAGTTGTAATAATGTTTACTTTGGACCTTCCAATTGATATTTCTATTTCAAGTAAAATACTGCTATACCCTTATAAACTGTGCATAACTTCAAAATCTAAGATGACCACAAGCAGGAGAAATACTTAGCCTTTGCTTTTTCTCTTGCAAGTTAACAAGTGCTTTCACAAACATTTTTCATATGCGTGTTAAATTATCAGAGCTTTTAAGAAATGGGATATTATGAGAAAAGTGTTGTTTTTGTAAAGTTAATTAGCAGCTCAGCCCCTGTGGGGCAATGAAACGTGACACCCTTTCTAAACAAGCAGATGATGAAAACAAGCATATGTTCTGCAGTTACATTATCAATAATGGAGCAGTTACCTTGTTCAAGTGCCTGCAGTGGAAACCAGAAGAGAATAACGGAATGGAACAAGGCATTCATGCAGTGACCCCAGAAAACCTGCAGGGAAAACAAATTTCCAGAGTCAGAAGCCAGCCAAGGGCATGACCTCCATTTTGCCCAGCCCCCACCTCCCCCCCAAAAAACACAAAATGACTTCAAAGAAGGCAACTCTGTTTAAATTCCATCACCGACTTTTTCAACCAGAAGAGGCACTTCAAAATATCTCGACGTCCCACAGGCATGGGCTGCAAAGGCAGAGTACATTTTCCACTGAGTCAGTCCTGTAAATTTACAATTTATTTGAAGTGCTCCAAACTCACAGACAAATATTCGCTAATGAGAAACTTCAACAGCTCCAAACTAAATCGAATGGTCAGCCAGTTTGTCGGCAGTATTCCTTGTGCAGTAAGTCACAAGTGTTTGGCCTGTCATTCCATTCATTTTAGCTGAAGTAATAATGTTGGTTTCTCATACACAAGAAACCCACAAGAACTCCAATAGCTCTGAAAGTTTATACGCAAATTACAAATTACCCTCACGTTACTCTCTTAACTTGTCACAACAAAGGGTAGTTGTCAACTCCTGCTCTGACCACTGACATATTTTGAATATTAGCTCCTCATGCTTCCAAATAGGAAAGGTGATTTAGAGGCCTATTGACAAGGGCAAACAATGGAGCAGTACACTGGGCTACAACACATTGTGGTTCAGAGTGAACGGGAATAGGCTTTTGCCTGCAAAGTGCTCTGGGATGCTACCCTGGAATGAGGGGCGCTGTATAAATGCAAGTTGATGCTGTTGTTAGCAATTCCCCACATAATGAATCCCCATTGGCATCAGAAAAGCACATCAAGTAGAGCTTCTCGCGTGAAGGAAAAGAGCTGAGGAGGCCAAGAAGGCTTGGATCGTCCTGCGACCTATTTAGCAAACGGGTCAAGAACAACACTGACAGAGGCCTGGGAGAAGGGGAATGGGGTGTGGCATGCATGGTGTTAATAAACATAGCAAGATGTGTTGAGAGAAAAAGGTTTTAAAAAAAGTAAAAAGTAACAATTGAAAAAAAAGTTAAATTGCATCTCCATTAGAAGCATCGAAGCACTAGTGAACCGCATATGATTTACCTCAATGTTGCCTTATAATGCATTCGATATCGGGAGGATATCTCAAAGCGCTTCACAGGATTTACTCTAAAGTCACTGTATTCTATTAGCGAACACCTACATTAACAGGGTTAATAATGCAGGAATTGGAGCCTGGATTGGCAAAGGTGCAACTGAGGTCAGAAACTGGATGCCAAATAAGCAAATCAGATTTGGAATCTCACCTCCGAAAAGTACTGGGCTCTAACACAGCATGTCACACTTCCCTCTGTTCAGACGACTTTCATATATTGTACCTCAATCATGAGACTGGTTTGTAATTCACTCTGAAGAATCTGCCATTCACTTTGGGGCGAAAATTGCCACAACTCTGAGAATTATCAGAAATTTCCACTCTGTCAACGTCTGGCTGTGGGAGACAACTCTCCCTCAAAATTTTTGTCAGAATGGTTCGACACAAAGTTGCCTGGGGGCAGACATTGGACTTGCCAACCTTTGAGTTCCCCCTCCCCAGAATACTGAAAGCTGACATTTCGTGTTGTTATTTTTTCTCACAAGCACGTTATAGTTTTCACCCTCACATCCCCTCCCCCCCCCGTGTAAAATAAAGTCTCTTTCAGCAAGTAACTGCTTTCAAAGTTCAGACAGTTCCTCAAGCACTCGAGCCGCTCGCTATCACCGCTCGCTTTGATCTCTGTCTGCAGTCACCCGGGCACATAATTGATCAGTGTTTGGTACAGTGGCTGTGAATTCATCTTCAATGGTTTTGCTGCATGGTTAACAGGGCAATGGGCTCCTAGGCATTCACATTGGACCTCTGCAACAATAATAACAACTTGCTTTTATGTAGCACCTTTCACATAGGATAACCAAGACACCAAGCAAGGGCAAAGGGAGATGGGGAAGATGATGCAATAAAAAGGTAGGTTTTAAGGCACGACGCAAGGCAGCTAGATAAGGAATATGTGGAGGGTTCGAGGGAGGGAGTTTCAGAGGACAAGGATGGGTGAATCTGAAAGCTCAGACTGCCGAGCGTAGGAACGAGGTAGGAGAAGATCGAAGAGATCACTCTGCTGGGTATAGATTCCAGGAATTGTCAGGACGTTCCAGTGCACTGACCCATTGCGACTTTGGGAAGGCAGCCAGGGGTGGTGCTGTGTGTTTTAGATAATCATCACGGTGGAATGTGTACCATCGCTGCAACACTTCGTTCACTACTGAGAAGATATACTTCTGCAGCAAGACTGCAGAATAATGTGCCCATTAAGGATGTGCCCATCTATAACACAGCTCTTCACAATATCCCTTTGGAAGCCAGCCAAGCACGCCACTATAACAAGGCTCCTGTTAACTGGGATTGATCTCACACTGCTCTACACAGCATGGTGTTGTAGCTGGATGCCGACTTAGATGTTTCAATTTAAATCACTGTGAATTCTCAAAGCTGTTGCTCCTGGAATACTTTAAATTGCTGTGCGTGCACTTGCCTACTCCAGGCTAGCGGAGAGAAGCATTTTATCTACTGATCCATGAGCATCACCTCAGAAGATAATGCAATGAAAGTCCTTTTTAAAATACTTTTTTGTGGGGGATAAACAAGCAGACAAAGTTTTGGGCCAATCATTGACATTAAACTATTAGAGCAGTAGCTAAATCTGCATTGAGGATTATAACTGGGTACTTGTATGACTTTGGATTCATCTCTTTGAAGATCAGTCTTCAAAGGCAATTTTTAGACTCACCCATAAGTATTGCACAGCACCGAGGACAAATGGATAAAGGGGAGCATTTTATCAAGGGAGGTTGTACACTCAATGAAACTTGCGATGTGTGAAGCCTACTTGTATCCTTACTTCAGCCACAACATGTACAGTCAATTCATTTTACAGTATATTCTGTGAAGCGTTTTGAAACCCCTCAACGACATGATAAGGCGCTGTATCAAATGCAAGGATTATTATTATTGTAACTGTACGAAGACTTGTTGTATTTACTCTGATCTAGGGTGGCCCTGAATCTGAGGAGCAGGCAGATTGTAAGGGTTTGGGAGGAAAATGGAACTTTACTGTAATTCTAAAAAAAATCTTTGTAATTCACCAAAATCAACCACTACGTCTATATATTTTACAGTCAAGTTAAAAAAGACACATTTTTAGACTGTGGCTTTCATCTTCTTTCCTTAACTCTTCTGTCTGTCTGTCTGTTTGGGGTTATAATTTGGGTTAACAAACGGTACTGGAGTGAAGGGTTGTGGAGGTGGTGCAGCAGAGGACTGACTCGATTCCGACTTTCCATTGCCAAGTACATCACCTCAGATCCAGCTCAGCTCCAAGGAGACCCCACTTATTTCCCCCCAAGGAGGATAGTTACGCATTGATCCCTCTCAAAAAGATATTGGATGTACAGTCAGACTAGTGATCACACATGGCGATAACACTGTTTGGGAGCTAAGAAGAATAAACACACAGCATAGCTCCCTGATGGCTGGCACACTGTTCAGACTCGTACACGTGAGAATATATTTCTATGTTATTTACACTATGGTATACAACCTGATGTTTTGGAAGTCGCCCTTTCTTAGCACGGAGATGCCATAAGGCAAACCGGCAGACTGCATGCTTTGCAGTGAAACTATTGTGGCCTCGTTAATAGGCAAATTGAGATCTTATTGACCCCAACAAATGCCTTATAACATGGCTTTACTTGACTGTGCTATTAGTAAATGCTCCTCAATTCTCCCTCCTCTCTACTTTGCTTGATGTCCATCAGCATCTCTGCGTAATGTCATCTCACAGATGACAGGCCTCTTCAATTTTTTCCTCCTCTAGCGCTGAGTGTGCCATTGTAGATTTCCAGCATTTGTATTTATTCCAGTCTTTCTGGGCTGTTGCAGAACTACACTGACACCAAGTCCTTCCAACAGTAACACATATGACGGGTGGTTCATTGACTTCTTCAGATCAATTACCAGCTGAGTCAACACTCCTCAGCTGAATATTTCCACCTTATTTTACACGCACTGAACTGATTTCCTTTGGCTTCAAGTTAAAGTAATACTGTGTTCCAGGTGGAAAGCAATAAGCTGAATTGATTATTTTCTATAAATGTCTGTGGCAGACACTTTGCAATAAATGAGGAAATTCAGATAAATTATTTGTTAGACGCTAACAAGGTCACACCAAAGTGCAGAACTAAAATTCCCTTCACCTCGCTCCCTCCCTCCCTTGCCTCCTTCAAGGCACGCCTCAAGATCCTCCTCTTTGACCGTGCCCTCCTACCCTCTCTGCCCTCCACCCTCCCTGATCCCAATCCCCACTCACCCCTGCTTGGGACATCCTCCCGACGTGAAAGGCGCTTTACAAATGCAATTTTGTATTGTAAAATGATTATGTCAATGCTACCAGTGCCCTATTGCTACACGAAACGTTTCCTGTGTTACATAGAGTGATACAACATAGAAGCAAGCCATTCAGCCAACTAGCCCGTGCTGGTGTTTATATTCCACACAAGCCCCCACTCCTCCTATGTCCCTCTATTCCCCTTCCACTCATATATGCATTGTTTTCTCTTCAATAAATTGCTGTGCGAAAATTGGTTGCCGTATTTGCCTACAAAATGCACAATCACTGCACTGCGAAGTGCTTTGAGACACCCTCCCAACATGAAAGGGGCTATATCAAATGCAAGGATTATTAATACTCCTCATTTTCATAAAAAAATATTGCTGTCACTGCCCAAAAGCTCACTGTGAATCATATTACATGTAGGAAGCCCACACTCTCGTGAATTCTCCTGCAAAATCGCTTCACCTTGAGCCCTATCCCCTTGCCACCAGGAATGATAAGAATTCGATTTTTAAATATAGTCACTACACTTCACTGTATATCCTGTGAAATGCTTTGAGAGGTGTCAATGAGGTGCTATTTCAAATGTAATTATTATTTTTTATTGAATTAA